AGCGTCCACAAGATATTTTGAAGTGATCAGGGGTCACATCTCTGGCAGTAAATATCAGATATCGCTGAAAATCAATCGCCTACTTTGTCTCATGACCTTAACCACTGTGTATAAATTTAAAGTCAATCGGACATTAACTTTGGCCTCTAGAGCATCCACAAGATTTTTTTAAGTGATGAAGGGCCATAACTCTGACAGTAATTATCGGAAATCGCTGAAAATCAATTGGCTTCTTCATCTCATGACCTTAAACACTGTGTATAAATTTAAAGTCAATCGGATATTGAATTTAACCTCTAGAGCGTGCACAAGATTTTTTGAAGTGGTCAAGGACCATAATTCTGACAGTAATTATCGGAAATCGCTGAAAATCAATAGGCTTCTTCGTCTCATGACCTTAAACACTGTGTATAAATTTAAAGTAATCGGATATTAACTTTAGCCGTCCGGACGGCGGCGACGACAATATACGACCACATTTCAATGTGGGCGTATAAAAATTAACCGATGGCATATAATATTTAATGTATGATAAAGTCAAAATAGTCGATTTCGGTTTTTGGTGTTGCGCTCATTTTAAAAAAAATGTCTTTTACGGATAATGTGTATAGTACTAATAGCAATCACATACGGAAGAGGCAAAAAGATCCCTTTGCATTTGGAATTTCAAAATTAATTAAAACCAAATTTAAATTCCGAAAATCGGTTGTTTATTTTTTGCTGAAACTCCTTTTTTTAATCTGATCAAAATGGGAGTAAGTCACAGAGTGGTAATGGGCGTATTGTGTCCAAATTTCATGGTTTTCGGACAATCGGTGCCGGTGTCGTGGCGAAATTCCACTTTTTTCGCCCTTACAGAAGCCGTAAATGGTGGAAAAAAACGAACGGTAGGAACCGTGTCAAGAACAAACGACCTGAACGAATGCAGGTATCGCCTTGAAGTTTTCAGTGCACCTAGGTACCAACGTGAAAAGTTCCTCGCCGGAATTTGGTAGTCAACGTACCTTTGGTTCCAGCGTGGCGCATGCGCGAAGTCAAAAGAAATTACGGTCGATTTTGGGATTTGGGGTATATTTCGGAGTGGTTTGGTAAGTGACGGTGTATCTAAGATGGCGGTCATAACACAATATTATAATAACTTTAAAGAATGAACAAATTTCCGCGACCGGGATGATTTGCTCTGCCCAGGCAACGTTCCTGTGATCCGATTGCCTTCAAATTTGCACAGAATGTACCTTGGGATTCTAGCTATCACATATTAAAAATAGAAGAGTGTGGGATTCCGAGAACGTTCAAAATAAATTCAAAACCCACCCCCAACCATCAAAGTTTTTTTGCTTAAAAAATTGCCGTATTTTATCGAATTTTTATTGTTCTTGATATCTGAACATTTTCTCATTTTAATATGTGATAAGTATCATCGAGGCGCAGCCAACCGCTGGAAATTCCAGAGATTTGGACCACCGGAAGGATGCCTCAGCAGTCAAAAAAGGTCAAAATAGGCGATTTCGGTTTCTCGTGTCGATACATAGTTACGGTCATTTTAAAAAATTGTCTTTTAAGGATAATGTGTATAGTACCAATACCTATCACATACGGAAGAAGCGATAAAATCTCTTTGCATTTGCAATTTCAAAATTAATTAAAACCAATATTAAATTCCGAAAATCGTTTTTTTTGCTAAAACTCTTTTTTTCAATGGGATCAAAATGGGGTTAAAGCACAGTGTCCGGGGTGGTAATGGGCGTATTGTGTCCAAATTTCATGGTTTTCGGACAATCGGTGCCGGTGTCACGGTGAAATTCCACTTTTTTCCCCTCATGGAAGCCGTAAATTGACTTCGAAAAAAAACGACGAAAGGCAGGTGACAAGAACAAACGACTTGAACGAATGCAGGTATCACCTTGAAATTTTCAGGGTACCTAGGTACCAAAGGGAGAAGTTGCTCGCCGGAATTTAGTACTCATGGTACCTTTGGTTCCAGCGTAGCGCATGCGCGAAGTCAAATCCAGCTAAACTCGAAAACAACCTTGTCGGCACGGAAAACATCAAAGGAGAAATTCGAATTTTTGAAATATTCAAATACCAAACGTTCGACCATGATCCAGGCTATCCTGAAATGTATTAATTTCGGTAATAGGAGACATATTCTCTAGGTCACGACCAATTGTATATGTTTTCAAGCCCATAAATGTGGATTTTTCACTAATTGTTATTTTCAATTCAAAATGGCGTCCATCATTTGCCGGAAATCAAAATTGTGTTCTCTACCGTTTTTCGGCTTTCCTTCAAGGATTCGGAAAATATAATTGCCTTGTCTGTAAGTAAAATATAAAAAAAGCCTTATGTAATTTTCACATTTCAAGATGGTGGCATTTCCGGTTTGAGCTACAAACTCAATTTTTTGTAGCGAATCAGTAGTGTCGTAGCCAGTAAAGAAAAAAAAATCAAGGCAATCTGACCTATATTTCGTCGATTTTTTTGAAAACTTTGATCCTTAATTTCATCAAGGGGAGATAATTTAGAAAATTTCTAATGATATTTATGAAGTCGCATTGATAAGATCTACCTACATTCTAAATTTCATGAAAATCGTGCAACTATTAAAGAAGTTGTCAAATTGATCTCAACTTCCGGTTCAAAATCACAGCGACGAATTTTCGAAATTCGAAAATTCGAAATTGCAGATTTTAAGTAAATGTTTCAAGGCACCCCTCAAAAAAAGAATTAGTAAAATAGGTCAAATAGTTACAAAGTTACAGTAATGTAGGTCAAATGAATTTGTTCGTAAAATTCGGATTCGAAAAACGATTTGAAAATATATTTAATCAACATTCGCACCCCATTTTTGGGGGGGTAGGTCAAAGTTTCAGATTGATCCTATGGTTAGATTCTGAGAAATCCGATTTGTAGAAATGACACACAAAAAAAAATAATAACGAGATATGTGCATCTCATCAAATTCAGCTTATACCATACCCACAATAATGTTACGGAGTCAGTGAGTTCAAGTTAGACAATACGCTGACCTTCCACTGACCATGCTTATAATATAAAATCTGTCAATGACAGCTGATTCATTGTTTAGTTTTTTATATGATATATTTAATATCAATAATATATGTATATGCATGCTTTATTTTACTTTACACGACCTCTAAAAATGCCCCAAATCGTAAAAATACGACTTTTTGGATTTCGATCTCCTTTTTTCGGCTACCCCGGACATTTTCAAAAAATGATACAATGATTTCACACAACAGGCCAGCTATTAGCCTCTCGATTGACAAGAGTTTCATCGCCCTCCATTCATTATAACCAATGTCATCGTGCCCTAAAGAATCAACAAATCAGCTTGCTTATCTCTGCTTACCCTAGGCAAAAAATGCTCATCTTTGAACTCAATCATGACATTGACCTAGTGAACGCCTACACCAAGTTTGAACATTCTAGCTTAATTAGAAGGAGAGTTCTTGTGTTCCAAAGTCCCGGCCCTTCAAATTGCTTCTATTTTTCATTTTCAATTCAAAATGGTGACCATCACGTGACCGAAATCAAAATTCTGATCCGATAGATTTTTAGGCATTCCTTCCAGGATTCCAAAAATATGACGCCCGAGTCTGTCCGGTTCGATCGACAAACTCCATATTTTGTGTACGAATCAGTAATTACTTGTCTAGTATCAAATTTTTTTTTTAGGTCATTCTAACCTATATTTCGACGATTTTTTTGAAAACTTTGATCCTTAATTTCACCAAGGGGAGATAATTTAGAAAATTTCCAAGGACATCATTGAAGTCGCATTGGCAAGATCTACTAACATTCTAAATTTCACGAAAATCGCACAACTATTAAAGAAGTTGTCAAATTGGTAATAACTTCCGGTTCGAAATGACAGCGACGAATTTTCGAAATGCCAAAATCCGAAATTGCAGATTTGAAGTAAATGTTTCAAGATACTCAAAGAAAAAAGAATTAGTAAAATAGGTCAAATAGTCACAAAGTTACAGCATTGTAGGTCAAATGCATTCCTTCGTAAAATTCGGTGATTTCGGATTCGTAAAACGTTTTGAAAATATATTTAATCAACAGCCACCACCCATTTTTGGGGGGATAGGTAAAAGTTTCAGAACGATCCTATGGTTAGATTCTGAGAAATCCGATTTGTGGACAAAACACAAAAAAAAAATAACAATAATAATCTTAACAGAAACAATAAGCTTTCATATGTAATATGAAAGCTTAATAATCTTAACAAAAACAATAGTGTTTCACACAAGCTACGCAGTGTGAAACCCTAATTAAAAAACCTCTCTTCATCCATGTGGCTCAAGGCACGCCATGGATTACACTACAGGCACCAATCCTAAATTATACAAACATCATCATAGATTAATTAGATTTAAATATTTTAAATAAACCCTACTGTAAACACCTTAAACCGAGTTTTAAAGCCATCATGACTGTTTTTGCAAAAAGGGCATTCCCTACGTCATTCAGATGTACCATATCACCAGCATAATTGCTTAATTTACAACGTACTTTTCTGCAGTTATGCCAACACCTAACCTTGGCCAAATGACTAACTTGATCTTCTATGATCCTATTGATAATTACCCTATAACTTTCATAGACCTCTTTTGACATCCCCCGTGGTTGGAAGCGCGGAAAGATGCATCCAACAAAGACTACTGCCCCAGGACACCGCAAAGAAACCCTTCTGACCAAATTCATTATATTCCTAGCGATTTGAAAAGGCTGATGACGGGGATGAATATCATTGCCTCCAGTCTGTACAAAAACAACACGAACATCTGCAGGAATCTGGTCTACCATTCCCATTAAGTTTAGGGCTGTCCCTCCCGATCTATATACAAAATGAATTTTACCCTCCCCATTCTCCGTCTTTACAGAATATCCTAACTCTAACTCTAATTTTCTAATAAACGAATGCCCAAATACACAGACATCCATACTAAAATATAAATACTTTGTCTTACCAGTAATTGTTTAAGCCTGTAGCAAATAAGAACTTTATATTTATAACCTAAAATAAATACAACATATTATTAACAAAGTAGGCCTTTGAATATACAACAATAAATAATATGACGTCAACGGTGTGTAGTCGGATAGTTACGAGCGCGGATGTCAGTGGAAGCATGTCTGGCCTATTTTTTCTCTCCATATCTTCGTCGGGATAAGAAACTCGTTGAGATGTCATACTCAGCCATCCTTAGGGTGTAACGGTGATATAATAATACGTTTTTTTAAATCGGATAAAAATTATGACCGCTATAGGGTCCACAAGCTAAAAATGCGATTTTTCGTACAATCAGGGCCCATAATTCAGGAAGTTACGGTCCGATATGCGCGAAAGGAACCAAGATCTTTGGGTTATAAACTTACATTTCAAGTTTCAAAAAAATCAGATAAAAATTGTGACCTCTATAGGGTCCACAAGCTAAAAACGTGATTTTTCGTACAATCAGGGGCCATAATCCATGAAGTTTCGATCCGATACATGCCAGTATCGAAAGCAGCTGAGATCTTTTGGGGATAAACCTATATTTCAAGTTTCGTCAAAATTGGATAAGAATTGTGACCTGTAGAGAGTCCACAAACAATTGTGGACGGACGTCCGGACGGACAGGGGCGACGGCATAATACGTCCACATGAAAATGTGGACGAATAAAAAGCAGAATCTACCCTTATGATTACAGCAACTGTAAATTAAGTAAAAGCCGTTTGTTAATTTCTAGCAACCATCCGAGCCCACAACAATATTTCAACTATATTACATTATTAGTAGATCTAGTTTACGTCACGATGAACTATATTTAGGCCTAATAAAAATAACATAAAGAGCCCCTGATGATATGGCTTGTAAATCAAAATCTCGATCGACAACAATAATAGCAGTATCCCTTTCACTTAAATAGACAACCGACGTGCCATTGAAGCAACTCGTATATCAAATTTGTAGTGTACATGAAGCTGCGTTTTAATTTTCATATTCCCATCATTTCAATCAAGTATTCACCCAATGGCGTGTGTTTGCACAGTGGCGGGGGGAAGAGCGCCAATTTTAAATGGGGTTATTTCATTGGCTGCCGTAATCAGCACCCCCGCTAAAGCCATTTTATTTTAACAAAAACGAACAGTGGAACATTAAGAAAAGAATTTTAAATTGAAAAAAAAAAAAATAATAAATAAATAACTACCCCCAAAGGTAACGAAATAATCAGATTGGAATGATAATATAAACACCAATTTGGAAAAAAGAAAAGTAAATACAAAAATGAATACTTTAATTGAAAAAGGTTTGTCTGAAAGAGAGAGCGCATTCCTTAATATACACATATACGTGTGGTTCAAGGCACGCCACGGACGTACTATGCCCTACCTTTTGAATGCATCTTAAGTTGATTAAGCTATTAAGTGAAACCTACATCCATGTGGCTCAGGGCACACCATGAATACTCCTACTATAAGATCCCCCCCCACCTCTCTCTCTTAGTACTCTTACAAAGAAATTTAATTTAGAAAAACAAACGAGCATACTCCCAAAACCGTTGTTCGATATTCTCAATATCCTCTATTTCCCAAGTTCGTCCTGCACCTATAGGAAGGATAGATAATTCATTTGCAATGATGAATTTTTTTTCAACAGGCGCAATTTCAGAAGTCCAACGAAATGCGCAGTTTCGTCATCAACTAATTTTGTTACCAGCCCTGGGTACCAACTATCTTCATATGCTACGGCAATGTAGACATTTTCTTACAAATTTCCAATTTCATATGAAACATGTTGTGAATTAGTTTCGTCGTCAGTATCTTCACCAGAAAGATCGATTTCAGATTCCCGCGATACTTTACTTTTTTTGGCAGGTGTAGGGCAAATTTCGATATTTGATTTTTGTTTACGATGATTATCAACAAGTTGCTCAAGATTTTGATTAATCACCTCCTTAACTTTTTGTGTATTTCTGGTGTATTCCGTGTAACTAATTTAGAATTTGCTCAAGATTATTTCTAAGTTCACCAACTGCTAATTTTTTGCCTTGTTTTGACATCTTAAAAAGATCACGAGGTGCCTTTACATTCAAAACCTTATTGTAATACTTAATTTCCGTTACAAGTAAGGTTATTTTTTCAGTCTCAGAAACTGTTTCTAGTAAACTACTTGAATCCTCACGGCAACGGCATGGCCCACCAATCGTCAATGATTGATTGCTTTTCATTGAGATTTTTTAATTCTTTTGCTCGTGCGAGTTGGTAGCTCTCTTCTTCTGCCTCTTTACCTCAGCAACATACCCACGAGCCTCTTTCAGCCAAAACTGACAGCAACAGTTGATTGCTGTTCCCAACATAGCCATTAGCAAAAAAGTCTATGATGTCAGCTCTATGATAATGGGCTGCGGCAGCACCGTCGAATATGCAGTTAAATCTATTAGATCTAAAATCTAATATTTTAGACTTTTTGTCCGAAAGATCCAAGTAGCTGAGCCATCGCGCGCGACATCCCGATTTTTCATCACCACGTGGCCCCAAAGCAGAACATAAGGTTCGTAATAATCTTAAAACACAACTCTCTGAACATCTCCAATATTTGAACTCAGCTAACGCATCTCTTCCTAATGAACCACGCTCTTTTACCAATTCGCTTTCAAATGTTTTGATATCTTTTTCAGCCTGAGAACTTAAACCTAATAAAAAGTGAGCCATACAATAAAAGTAAAGTAACCCGTCGTCTTTCTTTTGACCTACAGAATCCAGATATTCGTTTTGCCATTCATTTAATTTCTTATGTGCCAATTGAACTACCGAGGAACGATCTCCAACGGGCGAAGATAAACGGGAAATCAAATTCTCAAACACTTCTTCGTTTCCTATCATAGTTTGGGCCAAATCCTTAAAGACACTAATGGTTGTGTCAACGACTGTTCTACTGTCTTTGCGAGCTATATCCATAAATCCCAAAGTCAATGTTTGAAAATTATCCGTTGTGACCTCAAAATCCAAAATTTTATTCTTGTCTCGACAAGTTCCATCAAAATGCAAATCAAACTTGTTACTTTTCAACAGAGTTTCTGTAACATGGCGCTTTGCTATAAAATGCACTTCGGGTACAAAATTGCTAATTGTATTAGCACTTGGAAGGGAAGTATTTGAAATATCAACATCAAACATATTTTTTGAAACTATGCTTATTACTTGTGGAATCTTCTTCATCCCAAGTTGTTGACCTACTAATATCATAATCCTGATTACCTGACATACCTTCACTTTTGTGACCTACTGACGTCAAATCTAATTTCTCTTGAAATGTATCGACCATTGCCGCCATTGGTTCTAATGGCGTTTTTAAAGACTTATCGTCATTTGGACACGATTGCATTAAACTTACATCATTAGAAATGCTTTTAAGCGGCAAGTTTGCCATAAGATTTAAATACTCACAGTACTACCTTTCCGTTTCTTTAATTCTGTATACTTTATAAGTATTTTATTAACAACAGAATTTAATTACTTCAAATTTAAATTAAGTTTTGGTGAAATGGACGTCAACATTTGAAATAATTCTTTCAAGGATAGTTGACCTTTAATCAATTTATACCGTAGCAATAAAATAGAACCATTTGTTAAATAACCTTCAAAAATCTCAGGATTATCATATTTTAAAAAACTAGCAAAATTGTCTGACGAAAGACTCGAAAGCAATTCTTTCCATTCAGCTGCAAGTGCAATAATACATTTACAATTTTAGATCTAGGCCTAACTTAAGACAAAATTGTTAGGTAGGAAATTTAGAGTTTTATTCATCAATTCACCCGGCGAAATAAAAAAAAACTTCCATTCAATAATTCATACAATAACAATGACCTCTATGTGACCTAGGCCTATTGCCATTGGTTCCATTACAATTTTAGATCAAGGCCCATCCATCAGAATAAACACACTAAACGTTGAAGGGTATAATTTATAGTTTTATTTATCAATTCACCAGATCTAAGAAAATGTATATTTTGATTCACTAATTCATACCAATTTTAAAAGCACCGGCAATTATTTGGGGGATACGATTACGATCTGACCGTACCAGTACTACAACTAGTAGGCGGATTCGTTCCACTCACTTCGACACTTGTGCATCACAATTTTATATTTAGGCCCACTGGCACTAGAAATAACACACGTGGGAAATATTTATAATTCTATTAACCTGATCTAAAAGAATTAAGATTAAAAAAGCACAAGTTTCTTCTATTAATTTTAAGTGTGGGCGTGGTGCGGTCCTCACCACTGTCTTACTTTGTTAGTCTTTCTTTGCATGGTATAATAATAATCATACTCACCACTACCCGTGATATTCACACTATCCACATAAACCTGCTGCTGTTCCATATTTTTTTCACCAAAATATTATTCATCGACCATTTGTGTCACACTCAGCGATCAAACTGGCGCAATTATGTTTAACTTCAACTTCGACCCCATGTTTTGATAACCTAGTTTTTCTGTACGGGATTTTTTTATTGGAGGTTGTTTTTGTAAAGATAAATTGTGATTGGTTTATTTTCTTTCGCGGGAATTTAGCGCCCCATGCCACCTGTTCATGTTTACATCACGTGAAGTGTCAGAGTAGTTCCGCATGTTGAGACGACCGTAGCATTTGTTACATTGTCTCTTGCAATGCATTTAGTAAAATGGATTAGGATAAACCTGGAATAACTTTTATTTGCAGGCAAGTCCTTTATTTGTATTAATGCATATCAAATCCCCTTGTTTACAACGTAGCAAGTATGTCAAAGCAGTTTCCTCGTCTCAGCCATACCCTTTTCTCTGTGACCTTGCTGGCTATAGCAGCCGACGTCATGACGTCACAAAACTCGCATGATTGCAGTATTTTTTTTTCTAAAAAAATCATGTTGTATACTATTTTCAAGTGCTCGGCGGGCGCACTTACCATGCTCCGATTTTGTTGATTTTAATATCATCGAAACGACAATAAAACGAACTTTCAATCGGTCGGGGGTGCTATATTGACAAATCGCCTCAAAAAAAAGATTTCGTGAACTGAAGTGTTCAACTTACAAAAAATGCATGGTATTTCGAAATGCCAACAAAGCACCCCGAATCGATCGAAAGATCGTTCATTTATAATATTAATAATAAGTGTGCCCGCTGAGCACTTAAAGTGGGGTACCCTCGTTTAAAAACGTGACAAAATTTCCTGTTAAAACACGGGAAATTGACGTTTTTCAACTTACGTTTATCAAATAAATAAAATGAACACATATATAAAAATTATATCAAAGAAGAGAACAGGATGTCTGCTTCTAAAATATTTTTAAATTATTACAAAACATTAAATAGCCACTGTTTGACGTTAAGTTGAAAAAGGGTTACAAATCCGGAAAAACGACTTTCTTCCAACGCAGGCAATGGAGCTGTGACACCTATTATAATGCTTTAAAATAGAACTAGAGCAAATATTTTTCTTAATATCTTCAAAAGTTTTTTGTCTCAAATCATTCCCGTTAAATTCACATTTGGTGGAATTAAACTCTCGTAAAGGCTTAGTTAAATCGGCTAAATTTGGGGTAAATTTACTTAACTGATGTATGACGCCTAATACTCTACGTAGACTGTGAATATCCGTTGGTGCGTCCATTTTAGAAATGGCTTTGAGTTTATCGGGATCTGGTTCTATACCGTGTTTACTTACGATATTTTCTAGAAATTTTAAACTGAATTCAAAAAATATGCATTTCGACAAATTTAAAGCTATGAAGTCATGTGTCATACTGTAATTCTGATTCACCGTAAATAAAGATGTCATCTATGTGACACAATACGCCTGGTAACCCATCTAAAAGTTGACATTCTTTTTTGGAAATATTCGGGAGCAGAATTAATACCAAACAGCAATCTATTGAAACAATATCATCCAAACGGGGTCATAAATGTAGTTAACAATTTGGATTCACTACTAATCAGGATTTGATAAAATCCGGAGTTGGCGTCCAGTTTTGTAAATACTTTTGCCCCCGATAATTGAGCTCGAGTTTGCTCCACCGTGGTTAACATAATTTTCTAGGAGTACATTTTTATTTAACATGGTGAAATCTACGCATAAGCGAATTCTACCGTCAGCCTTATCAATAGGCACTATGGGAAAACATCACTCCGTGGGATCCTCAACTCGTGAAATAACACCTAATTCTATAAGATGTGCAATCCCTTTTTTTCAACCTTTCATACTGAGGCAATTTAACAGCTCTAGAAGTTACAACTGAATAAGGTTTCGAATCGGGACGTAATCTAATACTGTACTCTCCTTCCAATACCCCCAATTCGTCGAAAAGCTTAGGGTTTTTATCAATAAATGGTGATTTAGGTTTAACGTGAACATTATCATCTACATCAACATTGTTAAATTTATGATCTGTACATTTCAGTAAATCTAATGCAAGAATAACAATGGAGTACTAAGATATTTTACAACATAAATATCTTGCTGTATGGGCCTACTATTATGTGTACCTTGGATACTACATTCGGCTTTAAACATACCTAATACATGCAATCTATTCCTACTAGGACCATACAATATCTTATTAGATGTAACTAATTTTATTTTTTGATTTCATTTTAATTTAATTTTATCATAATCTCTATCTGAAATTAAACTAACCTCTGCCCCAGTGTCAATTTTAAACTTAAGATTATAATTCTCAATGTACAAGTCCATTTACACTGGAGATATGGTATCGTTTAGAACGAGGTCTTTGGCGCTGGAAAGTATGCATATAGTTTACTTTCAAAACATCGTTCGATAATTGATAAAAATGGTTTAAGAATTACAAAAATGGTTTAAGAATTACAAGGATAGGTTGCCAGTCAACAAACCATACGCCCACAGCAGCTAAATCGTCCGAGCGGTCGTCAAGGGTTGTCGCATATTTATTCCTTTGTAGGTAATTGGGGGCCTTTACAAGACAGTTCTATACAGATCAGATTATAAATTTTGTCGTTTGAGGGTTTACAAGGTTCTACAAACTGAAACAAGGGTCTCAACTCTTGAAGTAATCTACAGAAATTGTTGAAATTTGACAGGATTTTTCGTTTTTACTAATTTAAATAATGCATATAAATTTCATACAGATCACATGATCACTTGTGTCATTCTAACGTTCACAATCGCCATATGGCATAACTCTAGAAATTATTGACGGAAATTGCTGAAATTCAATAGACCTGTTTCACAAATTTAAATGATGCATATAAACTTCATACATATCGGATGATAACTATCATCAATCGAGCATTAACAAGGTTTAACAAAGTGAAACAAGGGAAATAACTCTAGAAGTAATTATTGTAAATTGCTGAAATTCAATAGGCTTTTTCGTTTCACTAATTTAAATCATGCATATAAATTTCACAAAGATCGGGTGGTAACTTTTTGCGTTAGAGCGTTCACAAGGATCAATAAAGTGAAACAAGGGCCATAACTCTAGACGTAATAAATGGAAATTGCTGAAATTCCATAGGCTTCTCCGTTTCACTAATCTAAATAATGCATATAAATTTCACAAAGATCGTATGTTAACTTTTGGCATTAGAGCGTTCACAAGGTTTAACAAAGTGAAACAAGAGCCTAACTCTAGACTGAAATTAAATAGGCGACGGCAATATACGTCCACATTTCAATGTGGGCGTATAAAAATGGTTTAGTTAGTACTATGGCTTAGTTTAATGGTAACCGGTTTAGTTTCTCAGAGAGGCGTTTATAAATGGACGACCCATTCACTTATCTACGACGTTTACTTATTAGAAGAGCCGTTTACTTTCCCCGAGATATGTTGAAAAATCAACACACGGTTTACTTATCTACGGTGTTTTTAAGAAAATCTTTTAAGGATTATTTGAATTTGAAAAAAGTTATGAAATTTGATAATGATCATCATTAAACATTATCAAATAAAATGTCTTGTTTCTAGGGCACCGCTCCGCAAAAATGTTGTGCCTTGAACTTTTTTTATTTCAAAATTGGATTACACAAAAGAATGGTGCATCGCCACTCATACAAACTGTAAACAAAAATAAAATTGTCCACCCCTAAATTTGACTGCCGTAATGTGTGCTTGGTATTTAATCCTATAACTAAAATATGTGCATTCCACAATTCAGCCTACATAATATTTAACCTCAGAGTGTCCTGACTTATTTTCTGGATCCATATCGCTTTAGAAGTCAAGCCATTTTTGTTTTCAAAGGGTCAAGTATGCTTCAGTTGGATAATCGGCAAAACCAACCATATGACAACATGAAAAGTATTCATAAAAAAATATTTTAGACAGCATTTCTGATTATCATAAATATACTGTCGAAAATTTATTTAAAGGATAATACTTCCGAAAAAAGTTGTTTTAATATGAAAAATAACGATAACATTAGAATATTTTTGGCTCTGCGAAATTTTAAAAGTTACTCTGAATAATTTTACAAAGTAAAAATATACCAAAAAAAAACCGAATTGACAATTATGCATATCTGTAGCCTCGTTTTGATTTTTTCCGTAAATGACATCAGAGACGACAGATGTTGTGAATTTCCCTATGGAATTAGAAGGCTATTACAACTGAGCACTGCATGCCGTCATTTTGACTAACTGGATGCATAAACATGGTCAATTGTGTGGCTTGGGGATATACCAATAACACCAACAATAAATAAGGAAGCATGTGTCATTTGTTTTTTGATTTCCTAACGAGACAACACGCAGAAGTCTGGACACAGCGATGTCAACGAGGCCATGTCAAAACACGCTTCTCTTTCTTGTTCGGAGAATTTCGAGTTATCTGCTTACGAACGTCACCAGTGTGATTTTATTAATATTATTATGTGGATCAAGATATAACAGTTATGTTACAGTGTTTAAAATTTACGTCGGTCCGTCAGCGATAAACAACTGGACAGGCCGACATCTTTTTATTTTTAAGATGGCGAGTCGGCCCTGTGAGCAGATTGTTTTTTGTCATGGAAATTTTGTTCAGGGTTCTATCAAATTCTTTTTTGAAAATATTTACATTGCCTATTTATATCCGAAATATATTTCATCCAGATATTTAACAGTATTTCATTACCGGGAATGAAAATAAAATTGTCCACCAAAATATCAGCACGCTCCCAGAGTTCGGGAGGATATTATTTAACCATTTTGTTCAAGTATAGAATAGATGAGTGTGTGTTCCAATAGTATGCCTTACTTACTGTCCTATACTATTCAAAAAAAGTAGGGGATATTTGATTTTGGGGGCATAATACTAAAATATGCAAATGACTACGAAAAAAGTCACTATAGAACCTAACAGAAGAAACATTTCCAGTTACATGTGACGCCCAAACACACCAATAGCTACCGCATGGAATGCAGGTGATGCTTGGGATCATCATGGGGGTCCAACCCAAGATTTGCACGACTCTGACTTTGAATGTTACAGTCATTGTGGCATTGAATTCCAGGGTGGAAACATCAGTTTAATTGTTTTAGTGACCAGAAAACAAATTTTGATATGCGTCGGCTTACCCAAAATGAAAGGTTACGTGCCCTTGGCATGCTACAGATCGGCACAACACAGGCGGTTGTGGCGCGGACGATGAATGTTTCTCAGTCTGTCATAAGCAGGCTATGGTCCAGATACCGTGATACACAATCTGTACAGGACAGACCACGCTCAGGTCGACCAAGGGCGACAACTCAAGCCCAGGATCGATTTATCCGTACCTTGGCCTTGAGAAATCGTGTCATCACAGCAAATCAGATCAGCGCTCGTCTTCAAACAGACACTGGTGTGAGAGTGAGTGGCCAGACGATTCGGAATCGACTGCATAGGGGTCACCTTCGCGCCCGACGTCCTCAAGTGATCCCTTGTTTGAGAGATCATCACATTCAGGCAAGACGTCGTTGGTGTAGGGATCATCAACACTGGGATAATCGACGCTGGAGCAATGTGATGTTTTCAGATGAGTCAAGGTTCACTGTTGATTTTTTGGACAGACGTAGGAGGGTGTGGCGTCGTCGAAACGAGCGCTTCCAAGACGTTAACGTCAATAGACATGATCGATTTGGGGGTGGTTCTGTTATGGTGTGGGGAGGCATCACTGTTGCTGGGAGAACGGCTTTACATGTTGTTGCAGGGCGTGTTACAGGCCAGTACTACCGGAACAACATCTTGGCAGTCCATGTTGTGCCGTTCGCACGACGTCATGGCCGCCGTTTCATCTTCCAGGATGACAACGCAAGATGTCACAGGGCCAGGATCGTTACAGGTTACCTCCAACAACAGAACATCACCTTAGCCAGCACTGAGTCCCGACCTCTCCCCCATCGAGCATGTCTGGGACATGCTTGGACAGAGGTTACGTCAACGTCAACAACGTCCTGCCAATGTCCAAGAACTTGCTGCTGCGTTGCAACAGGAATGGGACAATCTGGACCAAAATGACCGTAGACGTCTCATTAGGAGTATGCCACGTCGGATCAATGCTTGTTTGGCAAACAGAGGAGGATTTACCCGTTACTGACTTGGTTGTGATGCTGTGGTAACTTTGCTGTTTGACCCCGGCTATCATTTTACCCTTATAATGGTCAGTCTGTGCCTTACTTAGTCTAACGATCATTTGGAATAAATCGATGAATGTGAACTTCATTTCATTTTGTCATTTGTTTCTTCGTCAGTTTCATTAGGTGACTTTAATAACACTTAAAAATCAAATATCCCCTACTTTTTTTGAATAGTATATTTGCCTTTATCCGATATTGAATACACATGCATAATCCGGCATATTATATTCCTTCAATAGAGAGATCCAAACACATATGCTACTAAACTAGGTCAGTCCATCTACTGTACTGCCATGAATCCAAGAATAAATATTCACGTGATATAAAACCTTTGTCTTGTAAAAATAAAATTGAAAAACCAGAGCTGAAAATTTCCTGAAAGCCTAACTACGGTTAACAATATAATTCCAGCGAGATAAAACAAGTGACCTTTCCCGCCATTATTTCCAACTCTCGGGATTTAATAGCAGACTTGAATCAAGTCTTTCTTTAATGAAGATTTCACAACCGTACTGCAAACCCAAGTCTTCGAAATCAGGCACGTGCAATATCTCATATAGGAAGAATAACAAAGAGTTTATCATTCCATAAATATAGGCTATCCCAACGTGTGACATCAGGTCAGTTTTAATAATGATAAACCAGTGGCTGCCAGGCAGGATACGCCCACATTTTCGAGAGATGGATAGAGAACAAGCTAAAAACAAAGTGATTTTTCCTACAATCAGGGGCCATAATTCAGGAAGTTACGGTCCGATATGCGCGAATATCGAAAGGAACCAAGATCTTTGGGTTATAAACTTACATTTCAAGTTTCAACAAAATCGGATAAAAATTGTGACCTCTATAGGGTCCACAACCTTGATATACCATATTTTTACGCCATTTGAGAACGAACGGCGGCCATTTTGTCTGTCAATTTTGGGCTGATTTGCATGAAATTCGAACTCCTTAGGGTGAAAAAGGTGATATAATAATACGTTTTTTTAAATCAGATAAAAATTATGAACTCTATAGGGTCCACAAGCTAAAAACGCAATTTTCCGTACAATCAGGGGCCATAATCAGGGCTGTCGGTAATTTTTCACAGATGATTAGCAGCACTGCTAATCAAAAAGTCCAATTTTGCCAAAGTTGATTAGCAAATTTAAAAATTGATTAGCACTTTTTCAGTTTCAAATCAACATAAAACACCTAAATAACAAGATTATTTTAATTTTAATTGAATGAATGTAGACTTTTGTTAGGCCTTATGTCTGAAGCCAATTCTTGGCAGTGGCTTCTTATTTCTTCGTTAGAAAACAATTTCGTCTGCTTTTTATCGTGTGTTATTATTTTTGTTCAATCGGAAGCACGCGGTATTTTACGAATAATCTCGATTAACTAGACGCACGCGATATAAACAATAATAGTTTACGGGAATTCTTACTTTGATTTCTCACTTTACAATACGTTTACACGTATTTATCTTTTATATTTTATTTACAATACGTGGGGGATACACTGAATTTATTTTTTTTCAAATTGAATACTGATATAATTACTCGAAATTGACATGTCTCGCAACGTGAGTGGTACTACTTGATTCCCTATTTCCGGTTTAATAGTCTCGATTCATAGAGTTATGTCCCTGTATTATATAGTATCATGAATTGAGTCTGGGTAGTTTGAGAAGAAAATGTCACACGGAGAATTCCGTTTTGTTTATAAAATTTATTTGATATTTTATACACGTTGAAAGTGTTGAGAAATGTGGATAAATCTTTGTGTCAATATCCAAAATGACAGGCATATTAATGATTCGCAGTTACTGTGAATCAAAAACGTTAGATTTTAATTTTTGATTAGCAACGGACAAAATATGTATCGCAAATTGCGCTGCGATACTGGTTGTCGGCAGCCCTGGCCATAATTCAGGAAGTTACGGTCCGATATGCGCGAATATCGAAAGGTATGGAGACCTTTGGGTTATAAACTTACATTTCAAGTTTCATCAAAATCGGATAAAAATTGTGACCTCTATAGTGTCCACAAGCTAAAAACGTGATTTTTCGTACAAACAGGGGCCATAATCCATGAAATTTGGATCCGATACATGCCAATATCGAAAGCAGTCAAGATCTTTTGGAGATAAACCTATATTTCAAGTTTCGTCAAAATTGGATAAGAATTGTGACCTGTAGAGTGTCCACAAACAAATTGTGGACGGACGGACAGACGGACGGACAGGGGCGACGACAATATACGTCCACATGAAAATGTGGGCGTATAAAAATGATGTGTTGTCTGCCAAACACCACTTTCATGTTAAAAGAGGTCACGGTCTTTCATTTCACACGTGATGGAAACAAATCAAATGATTATTGCTATCGGACAGCAAATTTAATAAGTTCATTGAAATGTAAGACATGTTAATCTGTGTTTTGTAAGACCTTAAAAGCCATTTTCATTTCATTTATATGCACAATATATTCTGTTAATTTCGGAGAATGTGAAGGGCCATTTTAATCTTCAGATTTCTATGTGAATGGAATTTCGAGATACGTTGTCAGTATCATAAAGTAGACCTACATATAATCACCAAGATTACAAGTGAATAATTATTTATTACAAAAAAATAAATATCAAGCCTGGGCAGGAATGATTTTTTTTCTTTCTATTAATTCTATACACGAAGTATAAACATTAAATCTTTCAAAAGTTAAAATTGTAATGTGAACAGTTAATCAATATTGAATACATATTTTAACTTTTAAACCTGTCCCAAATGGCTGTAGAAGCCACCTACGGAACTTAAAAGTTTAAGGAATTTGGGATGGGGTAGTGTACGTGTGTTTTGTAAATATTTATTGGGCCCACAAGTTCATGTTTGGACCTACAATTTTCATGAATTGCGTCTACCAGCGGGTCCTGTTGGCTTACAACTTTTTTTGCCAAATTTTAAACACTGTTATGTTATCTTTCTATGTTAAAACTGTGCATTCTATGGCGAAACCGACACGCTTTTAAAATCTTGCAATAGAAACGACTGATGTAACCATAGCAACGAAATGTTATGTCGATGATTTTGCAGTCAATCATAGATAGTACTAGATGTAAGAAGTTCGTCAGATTCTAGGTAAATGAGTGTGATACTGATAGTGATAGAAATTTTTTTCAGCGATAGGCCCTACTCCGAATCCGATGATAGTCAGAGTCATATGATGTGACCCATTTTTAGCTATGTTCTTGTATCTACCTAGTATAGGGCATATAATACCGAAATTAATAGTTTTTTCTCTAATATATTTTCGCCGATAAAGCGTGAACATCAATAGGGCCTAAATGAAGCGAAAAGTTATCGAGAATCGAAGGGCCGACGATATAAGACAAGGTGTCTACGCTGTTTTTAGTGCCTATTTAGTATTTATCATTCTTCGTCACTAGAAATGGTAGAATGTTCCGAACCATCATTGTCACTTTCTGCCAATACCATATTGAAATATACATCGACTGCTATACGAGTGTCGTCTATTACGTCATGTCACATGATTTAGCTTCAGCTCATTAATCCCCGGGTGTTTCCGTAATTGCGGAAATCCGAAAGTGTTTTTAACGTTATTTGTTACTAAAACCTTTTTTTTTTTTTTAAAAATAATTCTGAAATGTGTTACACAATGAACTAAGTGAATGATAAAATTAAACTTTTACCATAGCATTCTCCTTTAATAGAAATGAATGTGTCTATTAGCATAAAGGAATCGACACCAGTCACGTGACCTTAGATGTATTTTGATCAGATTAGTTTCTCAAAATACATCAGTATTAAGTTCAAATAAGTAGTGAAATAAAAGAATGGAAAGTAACTAACCTTTAAAGAGGTAATAGGATTACCAGACAAATTAACTTCTCTTAAATGGGTATTAGCATCTAGACAATGTCCTGTTTTAAGTGATAATGCATAATACTAGTATATTAAATTTTTTCAAAGATAGCCACGCAAAGCGTGGAAATGCAATAAAAATGGAGTTTAACGTCCTACTGTTCTGCTCCGACTAATGGGCTAATGAAGATGGGCATGCGCCATACAATGGGCTATGAGGGAAATTTTGCCCAGACAGCGGCGCTACGGCCTACTCTTATATCAAATTTCAATTGCCAAGGGATCTTTTACGTGCATGCCAATGTGTACACGGGACCTCATTTTTTTGTATCATCCAAACGACTAAACAGCTGTTCTTGTTAGACCCTCTGTCCTGCACCACTGTCAAGGGAAAACCATGATGAACTTTCTCGGCCAACACTGGGAGTCACCCATGACCCCCAGGCTATATATATGCTAGCGAGCCAGCATCTCACTCAATTGTCCATCGTGGCTCCAAAGCGTGAAAATATTCCCACAAAGCAGCCATGTCTTGAAAACAAGATAGTCATATAGACAGCAGCCTATCTATATGGAAAGCTTGAATGTTGACTAAATTTGATAAGTTCGTGAATCTCATCATAGGTGTTTATCTCTGAAATGGAATGTTGCGAAAGGCTGAATGTTTCTAGGGTTCAATCCAGATTTGAAACAAACTCATTAAGCACTTTAGACTCTATCATGTTCATAAGGTTTTCGGAAAAGGGGGGGGGGGGAAACTCCGAAACTAAATGTTGGAGAATGCTGAATATCAATGATTTGTACATCAAACTTGAAAAAATCTGTTAAAAACTGTAGCCTTTATGGCGTTTATAAGGTTTCTTCATTTCCCTAATTTAAATATTGCATATAAATTCCACAAAGATCGGATGTTAACTTTTGGCTTCTTCATCTCACGAATGTAAACAACATATGGCATGTTTTTTTTTTCAAAGTGTACCATAGGTTCCCAATCCCAACAGAATTATGATAATCCTATGCCTCTTACAAAATCTCTGTCTCAGCAAAGATCGATACATATTCTTCCAAAATATATTTTAAAAAAGATAATTTTTCACAAATTTTTTTTTTTAACATTATACCTAATATATTGAAATTTTTTGAATCGTATCACTCTAGATGAAATTATACCAAATGTAAATGGTGCACATTAAAGCTCATAGAAATAGCAATCTCTACAGGTAGAATATACATTGAATTATGTTAAATGAAAGAAGATGCTATTATTTTTGGGTCATAAGACAGTAAAGCTGGGTTTATGTCGACTTTGCAACCCAAAGCAACTAGTTGCCGTCAGTTGCAAGAGTGCTTATGTCGATCATATCAGCAACTGAGGACAACTGGGAGCAACTGAATTGGGAGCGCTTATGACGACTCAGAACTGATAGCGATCACCCTGAACATGTGACTGTTAATTTATTCATCACATGATCAACAAAATGGCGAATTACTTAGAAGAAGCAACCCGAAGGTATGGTCGGTCTTGCTACAATTTTATTAGTATATTATTGTCGACATGATCAATGTCTTCGTTCGCTTCCATTTGCTTATTTATAAAGTCACATGACACGTCTCGTATCACGTGATGTTATTTTCATGAAAACAAGTTGACTCCAGTGGCAAGAACACTCATGTCGACTGCGAATAGTTGCCACTAGTTGCAGCCAGTTGAACTTTTTTCAGTTGCATTCAGTTGCTCCCAGTTGCCGAAACGCCAGTTGCAAGGTCGACATAAGCCCCCCTTAAAGATGACCATATTAAGAAATATAAAATGTCTCTTTTGAATTGAACAGGCGCATGGCACATTTATTTTCATTTCAGATATTAACCGTTGCTTATATATTAATAATTTTCTTCAAAATTTTAATGTAATAATAAATTATCTAAATCTGAAGTTTCATGAGATATGATTTACAAATTAATCATTAATTTAAAAATTAATTGCATTGCTAATGTTACATGTGGACAGACATTCTGGCAGATTAGTAACATTAGCACTAAAGTTTGAAGAAAATTTCTATTTATAGTGATGGTGTAAGTAGTTACTGAGACTTTATATATGCGAAATAAAGCATAATATTAAGAATTTAAGATAAATATAATAAATATAATCATATATTTTAATAACCTAAAATTTAAACATTTATTGGACTTGCAAATGTAGCTAATGTTACATAAGGACAGACATGGACATTTTATAAATAACTGTATTACTTGAATTATTGTTTTTAACTAAAAATTCAAATAGTCCGCAATGAAAGGTATTAATAAATTGTATAGTATTTCTACCCTTGGGCGAGTTTTAAATTTAAAATCAGACAAAAAGTATTTTAAAAGCATGTGCTAACGTTACGTAAGTACAGATGGTTTATTTAATCGGTCTGACAATTGACAAGAAAGTTATATATTTTGAGTAAATAACGCCATGAAAGCCGAATTAGTTGTGCTAACGTATCAAGAGTGCTAACGTTAACATTTTCGGACAGACAACTGTAAAAATGACATAACCAATCGACTACCTGTGTCAAATTATCCCTATCCTGTGTAGAAGATCGAGACTACACTCACGTTTCGTTTGCAGTGGTTATTCAAATTCTATAACGTAATATGAAGCCCGAAAGAAATATTAAAATAATGCTAACGTTTCGCTAAAACTGGACAGACATAAATTGGTCGAAACATTAGCAAAATATAAGCATGGAAATTTGATTTTCCAAACCATTTTCCTGCTTTTTTTAAATGGCATATACTAAAACATAAACAGCCATTCCACAAAGGGACAAATTTATTTCCACGTGACATAAAAATACAAAGTTTACAAAACAAATGTAAGACCACTTCAATAATGTAGTGGATGGACAGACCAGTCAAATTTTCACTGGGGTTTGAACAATTCAATTTTCAGATCTGTTATTTTTCTCATCAGTATATTTTTAAGTCTGTTTTAAAGAAGACACACTTGCCATTATAATTATACAAAAATAAATTAAAATTTTAAAACAAAATTTTATTTCAAAGTATTCTAAAATCTAGATAAAAAATGATGGGAAAAATGTCTGTCTTAAATGATGTAATTCATTAAAATATTTGTAACTTATTTTAATAAAAAAAATACATCAATAAACCTGGTATTAAGTATTTTATATGTTCAATATATGCTGATTTTGAAATAAGAAAAATATTTATAAACTCTTTTTCTCTTTTCTAATAAAACCATTACATTTGTTAGATACCCACTGGTACACTTTATAATAAAACATGCCATATAGCAATATATGTCCACATTTCCATGTGGGAGTATAAAAAAATCAATTAACAAGCAGCTGGTATACAAGATTCGCCCACATTTTGCAAGAGATGGATGGGTAACAGGCAAAATCAATTGGACTAATCCTCTCATTGTCAAACTTAAAGATCTTTTGATCCATGGGTTCCACGTCGGCCGTATATGCAGGTCGAGACCTACGGCTATGGAAAATGACCGTTCCTAGATCTGACCTAACGGTCATTTTGCACGCCGGAAAGAGGTTTTTTTTAAAAAAAAAAAAATGTCAAACATGACTACAATCGACCTTCACTGTGTGACTACAAGAATGCACGTCTAGAAGCCAATCTCGTGATTGGTGTTATAGAGTTGTATATATTGAAATGGCCTGGGCCATTCTTGTTGTTTTTGTATGTTTTCACTCGTTCGCTTGTTGACGTTCGTGAGCCTTTATTCTAATTATAGTAACATGGGGATGCCTTTCGTTTCTTTATGACAACGTATGTAATCGGTGATTGTTTACAGGAATTGTAATGATAAATGTTATAGAAACAATGACTAGCATAAGTAATATTAATTGTTGAGTAACCTAAGCTATTAATCGTGTGAAATGCCATCATGTGTTGTCTAAATTTAGAGTTAGTTTAAACCTAGAATGAGTGAAGACGTTTCTAGTATTTGTGTCCGCTGAACGACACGTCGTTTACTTGATGAATTTTGATACGTATCGTCGTTTGAGTAACATTAAACGTGTCAATTAAATATCAGTAATTTGCCTTACCTTCATATATGTTCACTGTTATATCCACGAACGGTTATAATCCTGATTCACAGGGTAATTTCTTAAAAGTTTGTCTCGTTTTCTACGAGGATTTGGCGAAGCCGCCATTTTTAAAAACGGTTGTTAGCGCGATGTCGATAACAGGGACACAAATACTTCTTATTTCTAGTTATCACAAACAATAAATAAATGTTTAAGAGAGGATCGCTAATAAAGCGATATTTATAAAGGATGATTAGATAATCGTATCCAGGTTCCGTTAAATCCGTTGTGTTCAGATTCAATATTACGTTCGGTGCAAGCAAGGCCTTGACTCGCCTTGAGTAGGAAATTCATACGCTGTGATCATCTTGGCAATGGCGACTGTGCTAATATTTTCGGGGCTAATGATATAATTATTCGTTAATTTACATTTTCATCTTTATTGAAATCGGATGGAGCATGTTATTCCTCGCATAATTTGTAACGGTTGTATATAGCGATATTGAGTTCTACCTTGTTAAAATTAGTCTTTTGTATTTGAGGCGTAATGCTCATTCACGGTAATGTCGTGGGACGTAATCGAGACGTAACCAAGGACGCATTGTTATTACATTAATTTCATTATTATTTTGTACATGTACATCCATTAGTCTTGTAAGAGTTGGATATTAGTCAGATTAGCTATATATTTGTATTGCCAACTTATTGCCTCCTCAAAAGTTGTCTGTTCATTAATAATGATTACATTTCATGTACCAGTATTGTAAAGTAGATCCTTCCTAGGCCAAATACGTCCCCTTTTTACGTGATCTGATTGGTCGAGACAATCACGTGACACCTAAAGCGAGAGTATATAAGGCCCTCAGGCTTTCCATTGTCATTCACTCATTGGTGCTTGCCAGGTAAGAGTCAAAGAGCACTAACTCCTCCCTCCCCAATTCTTAGAACCTCGTCTTAAAGGGCACATTCCATGATTATTTTTAAAGTAAAGT